CTCCCTGCTCACAACTCGTTGACCTGAAGGCCTAGGCGCCGAAGGCGCAAATTGCGGCGCGTTGTACGCCGGAGGGTCTGGTCTCGAAGGCCCTTGACCCGAAGGCGGATCTTCCGCCGGCTCCTTCCCCTTCCTACGTTGTATTGAGGGTGAATCCTGCCTGTGCGTAGGCGAACTTTCTTTGCCTACGCATAGGCGGAGGTCCACGTCCGCGTGAGGTCGCCTTTCCGCTGAAGCTCGCCTGTGCGTAGGCGGAACACTCGTCCGCATCGCACGTGGTAACTCCGGAGGCCCTTGGCCCGAAGGCGGCCTCTCGTCCGTCGGAGGTGTAGCGTGGTCCGTCGCTCCTGCAGACGTCCGCGCTCTCTCGATCCTCTCCGGCGACGCACTTCCTTTCTCCGTGGCGATCGTCGCCGTGTCCGCGCTGCTGGCTGGTAACACAAGCCTGCGCGCCTTCTGCTTCGGCCGGCTGCACACTTCGTGCAGTGGCCGCTGTCGTATGGGAGCAGTGGGTTCTCGATGCTGTTCCTCCTCGGTCTCCTCTCTCCATCGACGCTTTCGCGGCATCCTTGCTGCGGGTGTGTTTCTTCCTTCGTCTCTCCGTGTCGGCGGAGTAGAAGCTGGTGAATCCTCTGCATCGGTGTCGACCTCGTTATCCCGCACATACTTCCCGGGATGGTCGACGTACAATGGCGGAAAGCGAGCGAGCTCCGCCGCGGTCAAACAATTTCTCTGCCAATAGAAATTGATCAAGAAAGGAGAGAGGTGATTGAGAGTTCCCCCCTTCTCCTCGAATGCATGCTGTCGCATCACTCTGTGCAGGATGCTTGCCTAGTGAATTGGAGCTCCCTCGATGATGAGCTCCACAAAAGAAACCTGCCACAAGGTGATGTAGCAGGCGCGGTGTGGCTGCAGCAATTGCAGCAGCGCCGCCGCTAAAGTTCGGCGGAAGCGATCTTTGTAGTCGCGGGTCTTGTACCCATTCTTGGTAGACCTCTCCCGCTTGAACAATTCCACAAATTGCGCCTCGTCTTGCTTCGAAACCTTGACGCTCTCACTATCAAAGAGAAGGTGCCCTTCGATGCCGGCACACCTCCCCAATGCCTGCGCCCAATCTTGGACGGTCCACCGATCGACATGCGGACGCAATCTGCGCGAAGGTGGTCGCTGTGGTTCCAGCCATTCGCGCACCATGTCCACACAAATGTAATTCCATCCCCACAGCAAGAAATCGAGCTTTCTTGCAATCAGCCGTTCTTCGTAGGCACGCAACCCGTTCTGTGGAAGCCGGAGCGGCAGCATCCGCAATCTGTTCAGCTTCGACATTGCGTTCTTGAAATTAGCTTGCTCGCTAATTCTTTCTCTGCTCCGCTCGAGCTCCTTGCTCCCTCTGCAAACTCTAATCTCACTCAATTCCAAATCGCGCGCACTCAATTCTCTCTCAATCAACAAGTAATCTTCCGCGCGGCGATGTCTGGGATGTTTAGCAGCTAGCAGGTGGACTCGCGCAGCTCGCACTAGAAAATGAAATCGTGAATTCAAGAATGGGGCGCCCTCCGTCTCCCGGTCGAAGGTCATGGTCCCTTCGACATCGCGTTCTTGAATTCCCTCGCGCAGTTCAGAAGTCCGCAACTTTCCTCTGCTCTCTCCAAGCTTCTTGCACGCGGACGCGATCTCTCCGCGAGCTCTCACTCTCACTCCCTAGCAAATCGCTCGGCCGTGCACTCAGCGGTTGCGCGCTTTTCTTCAATTCTCCGCAAGTCGCAGCTCCCTCCGATTTCTCTCTGCCAATTCTTGCTGCGCACTCGTTGCTCGCGAGAAATCGAAATTGCAATTCCAAGAATGAGACGTCCACCTTCGGCACACAAGATTTCATTGTTCGATACTTGGGCGTGGGGATCGACCCACTTGATTGTCGCGCCGGCTTGGAGGCGTAACGGCCTCCCTCTCGCACGCTCGGCTTCACGCTCTGCTGTTGTGCGGGCTCACACGCTTGAAAATTGAATTCAATTTTCGCAGTCGTCCGTCGACTTAGCCCTGCTCGCGCAGCGCTGAAGGCGTGGCGGCGGAGGCCTTCGCCTCTGGCCGATTCTCGATTCTTCCCCTTTCCGCATCGCCGAAGGCGTTGACCCGCAGCACCGAATGCGTCCCCTTGAAGGCGTCTGTCGACTTAGATGCATCGCCGAAGGCGTAGTGCCAAAGGCGCTTGAGCCAAAAGCGTTGACCGAAGTCCATGTGTCTTGTCCTTTCCGTTGATCTGTTTTGTCCTGCCGAAGAAGTTCCGTTCTGCCGAAGGCGCACGTGTCCGCCAAAGGCGTACAGCCGAAGGCGGACCGTACGGAGTTCTAATTAGTAGTAGTCCGTACGGAGGTTCTCCAATTGTGTTCTCAACTCACCTCACTCTTGGTTACAAAAACTAAGAAGAATAGAAGTTGCCCTCTTTGACCCTCCACAAAGTTTCATGATTTATGTGTTTCCAGCTCAAAACAATTCATTCCATCATTTCTTGCTCATTCTGTTGATCATTCAAGGATAATGAAATCTATCATATCGTATTTGAATGACGTTGGATCCCTCATATACATTTTCAACCTTGATTACATCATTGTCGATCCCAATTGCCTCACCAATACCTTCTTAAGTGAGCTGATAGCTCTAGGTCAAGACTTTCAAGCTCTAGAGTGAGAGTCTTCTGAAGCTCATACACAAGCAAGGACGGATTTGTGAGAGAGAGTGTCTTTGCTCGGTTGATAGCAAAGTTTTTAGGAAACCAACCAAATGGACAGAGAGGAGCTTGAAAACATCCTTGTCAATTTTGATTTGTGTTTTAAGCTTGAAGATACTTCTCAGTATTTCATTCATTACTTCCTTCATCCTTGAGCATGCAAGGAAGGAGGAACAGAAAGATCAAGAATTGGCGCACGTGAAGTCAATGATTCGGGCAAATAAGAGTTAACTTAACTCAATTCACAGTTTGTCAGCAATTGATATCATTTTGGATTACGACTTATCCAGGAGTCGATATCATTTTGCGCATTACCGAAAGGTTGTCCCGAGGTGGCGTTAGTGCTCGGTGTGATTCAAACATTTTGCATGAAGATGCTGATTCCAAGTCATCTTAGAGGAGCCATTTTGATCGAGAAGCTGAAATCAGACTTCATTCGTAGCATCAATGACAAACTTGAGGAAATGTCGTTGGAAAGGTCGCACTTGATGGAGAAGGAAGATTTGTTCCACTAGTAGCACTGTTGGCCTCAGATTGGAAGGGACCCCGGCGGAATTTGTTGTGGGAGAGCGATGTGAAAGCAATTGTGAATGAGATTTTCCAGAACCGAATTCAACAATTGGAGTCATTGCAGGAAGCTATAATTAGAGTGGATGATGATTAAGCTCAATGTTATCCTGAAGCTGAAAACATGGTTAGCGGCTCCAATGCCCTCAAATGAAAGAACACAAAATACCTAGATCCAGCATCTTGAGTCTATACATCACACAACTGTGGAAAATCATTCCATCCAACTTCTTTTATCTAAGATTGACCAGCTAGAAGGAAAGTTTGATCTTTTGCATAGAAAGGTTGATGATTTGGATGAGAGGTTGAGAGAAGTGCATAGCATCATGCAAAAAGTGGACATGAAAATGGAAAACATACTCTCTGTGCTACAAGAATTGCAGTCAACGTTGAGTGTCTTCATGTCTAAGGTGAACATGATCATTGGCTATTCGCAAGCGTTTTAGCATTGGAAAACGCCCAAACGACCTTACGTTATGGACGATGTTAGAATTTTCTATAGATTGAAGGCAGGTCTGCATGTCGGAAAAACTGTTCGATTACACTTGATGTGTGAGTAGGTGACTGGGTTTCACACTATCAAAGATCAAGAAGGGTTGAAGGGTTGGAGAACTGGGGGTGGATTGGGAAACTATTGAAATTTCATACAAAGTTATATATTATGGTCCAAAGACTGCACTGACTAAGTTATTCGGGTTGGGCGAAGAGATTCCGGCCTGGGCAGATTTGAAATCGGATATTGTTAATCTGGTTGGTATTAGCAGTGAAGATTGCAAGGCAATTCTAACCTGTGGTGAAAACAAGGAGCTGCAAGAAGCATGGTTGAAGATTCAGCAAACTCTTGCGCCTCAGCTTGAAAATCGCTATTACGAAATCTTCAAGTTGTATAAGGTGTAATACGTGAGTTTAGAAAAACGTGGGCATACATGGGTGTGCGAGAAGTGCATGAACGAAGGCCTTTTGGAATTTTGACATGTTAGGATTTGGAAGAGGTTAGAATGCTATTGTGCAATGGACAAGCATATGTTAAGACCCTCATGCAAATATAAAACTCGTTCCGTATTTTCCGTATTAGGTTTCTTCGTGCTACAACCTGATTACATGCTTGACCTGGCCGTGATCTCTGCACATTTTAATCGCTAGTACGCTCAGAAACGGTCACGTGTACAAATGTTAGTTTCTTAGCAGGAATGCTCTTAAAATTCGACTGCTTGTGGACGTTCAGTTACAGAGACTCTTAACGTAGAACACAAACGTCGTTACCACAATTGTAAATAGTTTTACGAGATCTTGAAAGATCTGAGTCAATTATAGGCTCATGCTCGAAGAAAGAAGCCCGTCATTTCGTAGGCGCAGGAAGTCGATCATTGCGGCTCACGCCACATCGTCCATTATCATCACCAGAATCTGAAGATGAGTTCAGCTGTGTGTCAGAGAGAAATGCTGGCGTGGTAACAACGGCAAAAGATAGGCAATGCACAATTGCAACAACCAAACCTATCATGAGGGAGAAAAACACAGATACCATTGATAACTATGGTACTCTTCTGAATGACAAAGAATCTGATGGCAAACGTGCATATTTAGTGAATTTGGAAACAAAATCTATTACTAATGATGCTGAATGTAAAAAAACGAATCTGAATAAAAAATAGATATATACAATGATAACAACAATGTGAAATTTTCTTATTAATAATGAAACCTTGAAGATGAATAATTGCCCTGGATAAAAGAGCGGATAACATTTGGAACGGGATATTAATGTTTAAGATAATCTAGGGTCGAGTAACCATTGCAAAGAATCAAGCAAAGATCAACGCTATGATTCCAGCCTCGACAGAATTTCACACTCAATGTTATATTCCAGCAAAAGAATGCTCTGATACTCATGTCCATGACAAGGAAAAGGAGAGTTAGGTAATTGATTCTACAACCCACAAATGCAGGTCAAACTGTACAAATCTGGCGAAGTAGATTTGCAAGAGACTGTGGAAGAGATTGGATATCTCTCAGCAATGATTAATTAAACTCCTTTCCATTTCCATATTACATATGGACATGGAAAGGAGTTCAAATATTTGGTGAAAGATGGTGCACCGTTTCCAAAAGAGAGCCTGAAATCAATCACAACAATCTGGTGAGTAGCTTAGACAGGGATTAGTCTGAAGAAGTAGTCCAAGAATAAGCATTAGTAAACAAAACGGTTGAGATGCATGCAGTAAGGAAAGAGACTCCTCATACATAACAGAACCAATTATCCTCACATCATCGTTCCACCTTCTGAGCTCTTGCATGTGAGGAGAGTGCCTCGTGCAGATGCAAATCAAGACTAAGCTTGCAAACTGTTCCTAGAAATGGAAGCGCTTGCACTCTCGGTATAAGTACTCAATGCGAACTGCATAATACAAAAGGCAATCATCACTGTGGATATTATCCTCACAATCTTAATTAGCTGCAAACCTCGTACAATGAGAAAGAGGTTTGCAGCCAATTGTGAGTTCTTCTTATATAGTGCGGATTTGGGAGGTGGATGTCGTTGAGTCGTATACCCTGATGAAGACGTTCTCACCAGTAAAACCACGGTCACATTTCATATTGACGTTATCAAAATCGAAATTCGAGAAGGTGGAAAATATTGCCTCCATCTAGCTCCTGAAATTGAAGGCATAGAGATCTGAACTCTAATAGGCATAGTCTTAAACTACAAATTGAAGCAACGTTTTCCTCTCTCGTTTTAAAACTTGGAAACAGGTACTTGCAAAACGTAGCAGAAATGGTTTGACTGTATACGTGCTTTGTCCTGACTCGTTCCACGGCCTTTCATAAACCGCTGCTGATTTGAACTGTGCGGAAATTAGATGCCATGACGCCGGCGTCACTTTGTCATGGAGTATATCACATGTTGAGATTTATTCTATCACACAGTAAATGATCGGGCCTGGAAGTCTTTTCGTGGATCAAATCTAGAATTTGAATTGAATCCGTTCATCATTTGCGAGAACCTGCCGATGTTTGCAGGCACAACAGTACAGCATCTCGCAAACACGTCCAGAAGCAAGGAATAGTTTGAGCGCTTCTTCCTTTCAAGCTTCAATGAGAGTAGCAGTTTCTCATACTGCGTCCACCGTTTCTAGAAAATCGAACTGTTCACTGTCATGATTACATTGTTTTGTAATTTGTACAAGCTAATTCGACAAATAAGTAATTAAGAATTTCATGACCATAAAATCTCAAGCTAAACATTTATATAACAAGTGTAAATACTACAAAAATATGTTAATATTCAAATTTAGGTGTATGAATGAAAACTGCGAATTTTAAATCAAATATTTGCAATTAGTTTGAGTAATGTAACATTATGGAAAATTTTCGCTTTTTAAAGAAAACTTGTTTTAAAAAATAAATTAAGTCCATAAAAATTGTTTAGGTATATATCATAAGTTTTTACAATCTTATTTTTTTAATTATAATTACATATGTGTCGGAAGCGTAACTCATCAAAGTACAAAAATAATACGAGCGATTCGTTTCGCAAAATTTAATTCTGAGAAAACTCTGCGGCCACAAACCCATTATCAAAATTGTTATTCGCGACATATACCACGTGTCCCGTGACAGTGGAGGTGACATTAACTTCTAAATAACGGTTTCCAACTACAGTATCACTCTTGTCCCATCAAAATCATTATATTATACTTCCTGAGTCCATTTCCCATGTCGCAAGTTCAGCAGCTTGACTGACGATGGACTCACCTGCGCCAAGAAACACTTGCTACTTGGCATGCGCGGGCGTAATGTAACCGGGAAATCTCATCGATCCGAAATCCCAGCACTCCCAAAGAAAACTGAAAACTGACTTCCGTCGTGTTAGTGTCACAACTCGTATGCATGTGCGTGATGGGAATGAGACTTCTTGAACTATGCACAAGAAGCGACACAAATATCATTCCTAGATCTGCCGATACGCGGAGCATGAGCAATCAACACGAACGCAAGGTGATTGTGCAAAGTGTAATCAGGAGGATGCTCGAGCTCGAGACAAGCGATGGGAATCAATATTGACAGAGAAAACTAGGATTCTAGTACCAAGTTCAGTCGTAGAGCGTGTGGCAAAAGAGAATTCACTGCTATCGGGGTTTGATGTGCATTGGTGACCGAAGTGAGTGGACAAGATGATAGCTCTACAGGAGTATCTGAAATCAAGTTCTTGGCAAAGATGGCGCGCTGTGAAAGCAAAATGTCATAGAATGCATGATATTGCAGATTTCTCAGATGTGACGAACTCTGAGTTGTGGAAAAACCGGATGGGAGACTGCGAATCTAGCTGCATCAAGACGGGAAGACAGACCTACAATGGCTAGCGCGGGGGAAAACCATGTATCCTCTTTAATCAGATCTTCTCACTGAATCGTCTGAGCGATCAAGGTAACGACAACATTCGAACACAAAAATCGTGTTCTTTCATACTCTGTGATTGGAACATGGTGTTGGAAGGTCAGAGTAGATCTTGACTTTGTTGTGCAAGCGGAGAGGAAACGTGGGTGAATGCGTCAGTGTGATGATATACTCCTCGACGTCACATTGACAACTTCCATTACAACTTTGTTCTTTATTAATCCATTTATCTGGGATGTTCGAACTGTTCGAGCAAGTGGACATATTCTGACAGCTGAGTGGCACATGCGTAGTCAGCTGTAATAAGCATGTTACGTTTTTTCTTACTTTTGACCCAGAACAGTTGTGTACATAATTGTAAATAACTTGTAGGATCAGAAAAAACTGAGAAGCTTTTTGGGATTCTACTGACTATGATATCGAAGAACTGTGTACAGAAGATACCGATACTCGAGGTTATCAACTGCTGGTATGATTGTTCTTCTACCCCAACTGTCAAGTATGTCAATGCATGCTCAGTTTGGAGGTCTTTAGACCAGAAACATGAAATCATTATCGAATTTTGATTGTGCTAAGAACACTCTTTCTTGGTTATCGCTTGGTACCGCTAGACGACAGAAACAGCATGATCTGGTTAGTTGCCATGTTCAGTGGTTACTTTGATGTTACAGCCAAAACATGTCTTGTTTTGTCTAGATATGGATAGGTGATAAAACTGCTAATAAATACATTTGTGTACCTCGTGCAAAACTTGTCAAATAGATAAATGTATCATACATTTTTCAAAGCATTAACTTTGATCAATACATTAACAAAATTGAGTTTATTGTTGATCTTTATTAGCTCGATCTTTCTATCAAAAACCGTATTCAAGATAAAATATTCATGATATAATGAATTTAAATATGATATTCATCACTTGATTTTCTGTAAGATGTAATGCATTACAATTATCAAAATGAAGATAGAAGACATTTTGATATTAATCACATATCAATTATAAATCTATTCAATCAAATAGTTTTTTTTGTTTTTCTATGGTTTCTAATTGTGCTTCCAATGTTGACTGAGTTACATAAATTTCTAAAAATATTTTCTCATATCATGCATCCATTTTCAAGTTTATACACAATCAATTAAATACTACTTTTTGTTCAGATTTTTTACATGTAATAGATAATCTACATATGATGATCGCACACATTAAGAGTATACATAAAAAAACAATACGTACAAATTACACTGAAAAATATGGATGACAACTTTTAATTAATCTCAAGTTTTACACGCAAAAAATCCTCAAAATGTTTTCTACTCTCATAACATATTGTCAATATAACCAATTCAACTAGTTTCGTTTAATCTAACTTGAATTATAAAAATACGGATTTTACTTCCACCAACTCATGATCAACATCAACGCAATTTAACAAGAATAAAATATTTATAAATAAATCATCAGATAGATCATCTAGTTTTGACATTGAAAAATTGTATCTATTACACGGAAATGAGCATTCACAGCTGTCGTTGTTGTGACCAGGGTCTCTGTTTTCAGATTAACGATCTATTCGTAGTAAAACTCTACGGGGTCTTCTGTTATCTCCATATTCTACTGAAAAGTACTCTCATAAACCCCATACTAAGGTCTAGAACAAATCTCATACTACACATTGTTTTTGATTGACACAACACTTGAAACAGCTATGGAGCTTTCCATGACAATAGTTGTTATTATAGTTTATACGTTACCAATTAGCATTTGATTGTCAGCTCTAGGACTCATAGGGAAAAAATGATAATCTCCCATGCTGGGAATGGATAGTCTGTTGATAAGTCAAGATGTTACACGCAACCATCTTCGTGTAACTCCTTCAGAAAATGTTTTTCCTCTACCTAGAACGTACTCAAGGTTAAGCTCGTTTCACTTTCCGGTTGTGCTATGCTAGCACGAAAACATCCAGATGTGATTGTGTTTGGTTCACGCAGACAGACTATTGATATTGAAGCTATGATCCATCTTCTTGGCATCCATTTGGCTCAGAAACATAGAGCTTCATGAAGCCAAGGACATCAGGTAAGTAGATTCAGGAAGGAAATTTTCATTCAACAGATGACATTTTTTTTGTGCTTTTGTATTATGTCACTCTCAGCAGTTATCAAGGTTAACTGTAATGTAATAATTGTTTTTAATACTTACAAAGAAAAAACATTTATTATTTTAATATTTTTCTATTAGAAACAAAAATTTATAAAATTTATTTTTTATTTTAATATAATAATTTTAAAAAATTATATATATATATATATATTATTCCACTGTTATAATTGATTCATTTTTGGTTTTGATATTTCATACCATCCTAAGATAAATGGAATGAACAAAATTCTAGTATATGGTAAGAACCATCTTTTTATGGATCAACTTCTTGTGTTATAAGAAAAAAACAACCAAATTGCATTGTATTGGATGGTTAAAATTCTAAGAATACACGTTAGTGTGAACAACTGACTAAAAAAGTAATCAAGATTAAGAATAATTGAAAAGCCCTATACATGTTCTTGGTTGGTTCTGGAACTAGCGAATCATAGAAGGAAACCTTCATTGAGAGGTTTGTCCGCGTCTGGCAAAGAACGTGTAACCCGGAGGAGGCAATTTGTGGAATGGAATGGAAATTCGAATGGAATGCATCGAATGGATATTCTTTGCCCAAGTGTTTGTAAATGATGAATTGAGGCTTTGGGTGAACCACAAAAGATTATAGATTAGAGTTCTAGTGTCATAGGCTAAAACCTGGTTGAGTGAGTCCAATTCAAACCTTCTGCAATATTCCTCGAACTGCGGACAGACGCAGATGCTCCATAGAAAATAGTAATCGTGTTCAGAACCTATACAAAGATGGCAATGGTGATCGAAGATGACAGACTCGGATGAGAGACTGACTATTCGACAGATAAAAGCTCATGGCATCACCAATCTCGCCACCAGAAACACGTCTGCTGCCGTTTTTGCAGACCTGTGCTAAAATGCCAGGCCTGCCAATTTTGAATAATTTTTGAGTATAAGAAAACAAAGTTTCACAAACTTTGTACCATCCTCAACCTAAATATGCACTGGCTTCCCAATCACAGGACCAACATTTGAGAAAGGCTTCTGCGCGACCGGGTTCATCTTTTCAAGGGTCTGCCGCTACAATGCCTGACTTGTGTTTCGAAAGTCCAGATTAGCATGACGTGACGGCAGAGAATGCAGACATCCTAAATCTAATTTTCGTAAACTAATTGTACACCGCAGTGGAGATTTCTGGACTATATTGAGAGATGTATAAATTTATGTGATGTACCCGTATGAAATACAGTATTGATACTTTTCTCCGTTCATCTCATCGCAATGACCATGATCGTTTATATCTCGGATAACTATTTCGGTTAACGAATTTTGTACTAGACTTGAAGAGTCTCTCTAACTAAACGTCCGCTGCAGAGTCCAATAGCAAGAAATTTCATGCTACCATATTCATTATACACGTGACAATTCTGACTGTGCTAGCGATTTAAAATGTGCTGAGATCACTGCCAGCACAAGCATGTTATCAAGTTGTAGCGCGAAGAATACGGAACGGAAAACTCTCATAACACATCCACAACTTTACAAATGGAGTGCAATTCAGTGCAATTCTGTATTAGC